TCCTGGAGTATTACAAGGACTGTGATACCTTTTTTTTTCCTTCTCCATAGCAATAGGAGGGCTCTGTCTTTAAGGAAGAAGTTTCTCAGTCTCTAAAAGTCTAGTTAGGGTGCAGGAAAGTTTGTGTTATGCACCGGCAAGTGAAATTGGACACAGAGCAAGACAGATCTCTTGCAAGAAGTTTTAAACACTGCACACACCATCACTGAACACAGCATGCAGAGCTGAGAGTGAAAACTGTATTGGCTATCTCCTAAATGGGAGAATAGAGCTTCTGAAGCTTCACAGGATCTGTGGCTTTCAGAAATGAGAAAATTGCTATGAGTTTGCACCTTGAGGGTGTTCACATACCTCTCTAATGGCTCCCACTATCCTCTAAGCTCTTTAAGCCCTTAATTCAGACAACTGACTGTGTGATGTTCACCTTCTACCTGCAAGCAGTGGGTTTCAGCAATAAGAAACCAGTCAGATGACAGAACTATGCAGAAAAATGCATTGATTCAGAAGCACTGTCATGTTCTTGGTAATTTGCTATTAATTAGGCAGTGGGATTACAGACAAGCATTTTGTGTTGCATAAAAATGAAACAAAAAAAAAAGCTTTTTTTTTAAACAAAAAGAACAAGGACGCAGAATCGTCATTTCAACTAAAGTTGAACAGTGAGTCTCAGTACCTGGTAAGGGATAAGCTGGTGAATGATTTCTAGGAAAAGACAGTCAGAAAAAACAACAGGATGCCAAGTAAACTAGTGAGATGCTATCACAATTTGACAGACACTTGTCTTTCAGCCTGTGCCACTAAGGACATGATGTAGGACAGACAGGAGGGAGGACAGCCCTCTAAGGATGTGTTCAGACTGCCGGAGCACACCTGAACACAGGCCAGGATAAGGCCAGACTGGAAATGGTGTCACCTGAGAACAGTTTCCACTTGCCAGCAGCATGGGTGCAGACACAGGGCCAGTAGACAACTGTGCTACAGAAGATTAATGTGCTATCAGCCTGAAAGCAGATGGCATATTTACTACTTTTAAATTGGACACTGGTGCAAAAGCCAGCAGGTTTCAATTAGAAAAATGAAAAAGCACTAGGTGTAAATAAGTAAAACAGTATTTTTACAAAGTGTTTCTTAGGTGTGACCTCCATCATGAAAGGGAAGCAAAAGGCATCTCATACCAGGGTTGTGATGAAGGTGGAACATATTTTGGAAAAGCAAGGAGAATGAAAAAAAGGCACAAGAAATCTGTCATAGGAACACAGAAGTTCAGTGTGAGTACAAGATTGAGCTGTAGGAGCCCAAATCAAAGCAGAGGCTGCACTAGCTCATTGCTCCAGAAATTATAGTGAAAGAAGAACCAACAAAATAAATGTCCTGAACAGATCATGATGGGGACAAGAGACAAAATTTTTTGTTGCTACAGGGCAGGTATTCTGCCTGCTCTAACAACTCTTTCTGCAATAAAGCACAGCTCTTCAGATGATCATGGCCTTGAGTGCTGGAACCAATGTGTGATGCTACTGAAGCCAACCTGGTTATACTCAGTTACACCAAAGGAATGCCTGGCCTTTCTCTCCTGCACTACACCAGTTACTCCTATGGAAATACAGCAAAGTCTGAGGTTCTTAGAAAAACAGTTCTCTCCACACTCAAATTTTCTGACATGCAAGTAACAGGAAGGTGATTCTTCTGAGGATAGACAGTAGAAATGTAAACCATGGTGTACACAGAGAAGCCAAATAATACCAAAACCATTAGCTTCCTTCTACATTCCCAAGCTTTAAGCTAAAATATTAAATAATTTCCAGGCTCTATATCTGTTCTTAGATTACACCTAGGTAACCTCTCAGATGCTGTATTATTTTACCTGACAGCATAACTTTGGTAGCAATTCTAAGAGATATAACTGCAGATGTAACAGCAGGATCTAAAGCCCTTCACTGCTGGTACCAGCTGGGCACACAAACACCCCGTGAGAACACACACACTTGTTGAGCTCAATACTGGTTGTTTATAATAAGTTACTTGGCTCAGAGTATAATGCCAACTCTTGGCAAGGTTCTGGTGAGCCTGGAATCTGTAGAGGTTTCATTTATTGGTGCTGATGATAGGGATGAGTTAAATTACAGAAACTGGAATTGCTTTTAACATTATTCCAGGGAAATGTTTCCAAAGAGCTGACTATTGCGAAAGCCTGCAATAATGTCTCTTCCAAAACATTTGCCATTTCAGAGAACTCCAAGCTGCCAATGTCTAAAGTGCAACAGTTTCATTAAGAGAAAAGAACCTGTGTTTGCTATTGAGCAACCTCTGCAGATCCGAAACGTGCTCTGCACCTTGCCGCGTCAAGCCCTAAGCAGTTTCTAGCACATTTGAAGCAAGACCAAAGAACCAAAATTATGTCCAAGTTTCATCTGGTGTATGTTTGCTTTGAAGGCCAAACTAAATCCATCAACAAAGCAATATTCTCTTTACTGCACCCCCTTTTTATTTGTATGGTAGGAGCTCCTTGGAGGTCCAGTCATTAAATCATTATTCTAGATGCTGTACAAACACAGAGATGATTGAATCCCAAAAAGCTATTTTGTACATCTCCAAGAAGAGTCAAAACAGAGAATGTCATAAGCAAACAAGTAATGATAGACTCTGGTCCTTGGCAATTACAAGCTGGTGAGTTAATGGGAAAGTGTTATGACTAGAGCTGGATTTCATTGAGTACTTCAAGGTGTTTCAAACCTTTATGGAACAAGGCAAAGTCTATATATCTTACCTAAATTAATTCCACTTAAGTCAATATAATCTAGAAGAAATCTAAATCTCCATGTTGCTGTGGAAAAACTTTAATTATAAATAGATATTTTTAGTAACATGAATTGCCTCCTACTTCGGAAAAGATGCCATTTGTAACAGTAGGAAAGAATCATCACTTTCTGAGACTTCTGGATTTTACATATTCCCAAGAGGTGCCCAGAAGAATCTGTTATTCAGGCAAGATCCATGATTCCACAGATTACAAATGTTCTTATTAATAATGCTGCATGGTATCTGTTTTTTGAAACATGACAAACTAATCATGATAATTCATTTAATATGTAGGATCTGAGCTGCTCAAGAAGATACAGCATTCTCTTTAACTTCATGGGCACATCAATAAGAAATGAGAAACTAAAACCTGAGGTGAAATCTTTGATGGTAATACTGAAGGAAAAATGAGACTTAAACAAAATGATGGTAATATGGAAAAGAGTAAAGACATATTACTCAATAGAGCAAATGTGAATGTGCTCCTAGCAAACAGGACAGTACACTTTCCTTAGCTCAAAGACAGTCATTAAGATGACACTGCAAAACCTGTGGCCAGTAAGATCTCTCAATAAAGTCAGCTCTCACTATAAATTTGCAGTATATTTCAGTGTTTGTTTCCTTATAACGTTGTAAGGGCTAGGACCTAAGTACACACACTAGGGGCACATGTACTCTCAGCAAATTCTTCCAAGTGAGAACAAGTCTTGCACAGAGAATATTGCACCCATTGTAGCTGGACATGGAGTCATCTTTTGAACCTGCTAGATGATTTCTCTACTCTTATTTCAGTAGCTTATCTCAAGCATTTAGAGTACTGTACTTCTAACACTTTGCCACAGTTCATACTATTACAAAAAGCTGGATTTGAAAGAGCCAAAGATCACTTTTCTCTGCAAGCAGAAAACTAGGGAGGACTCTAGTGCTGTTGGGATTTTACATAGAAACCCAAGTTCAAGTCCCAGCTCTTCTAGTATCCGAGCCACTAAACATCCCTGCCTTGGTTAGTGGGACTGTGTTCTCTCCAGCGTGGTTGAAACAGAACTGTGTTTCCACAGCTTCTAGAAACTCTTCTATTAATAGCAGTGCTCCTTAATTTAAGTAAGCAGGAGGAATGCAAAAGGAGAACAGAATTTCTGCTACAAGGAGGATTTCTCTTTATTCTTCAATAATAAAGCTTAGCTTTTCTTCAGGGGCATTAAACCTTCTAAAATCAGGTGATTTTTCTTACTTGCTACAATGTTCCCTCTAGCCCTATTCATATTGCAGGTGTATTGTGAAATTGCTTCCTCTACAGCCAGCATAGCTTACTATTCTCCTTGTTGAAAAGTGTGTCACAGACATTGCTTCTATCTCTAAAGTTACTCCCTACAACCTTCTATTACTGAGCAACACTAGCTTTTCCTGAGCTAAGGCTGTGCTTTTCCTTTTATTGATTAGTTTTATTCCCATCCCCTCTCTGAAAGCCCTCAAAGACACACATTAAAGTATAGTGTGGGTGAATAGATCTGCCTGCCCATGGCTTAGAACATAGAACAGTGCCACCCGGCCACAGTCTAAAAAGATCTTCTAATGCTCAGTTGCCACTCTGGCTATCAGCAGTACATACAAGTGACTCCCAGCAGGGATGATTTCACAGGGCTTGTGAAAGCAATCACATGTATGGCAATGTTTGAAAGGTTGAGAGGTGTTGGAAAAGATTCTTAAAACACAAACACATCAGAATGATAGTCTTTCCAGGAATATTCCTCTGACTTTATTTGTATTCAGAAAATTGTCTAGAGTGTTTTTGATCTAAAAAAATCTTGTCAAACTGGTAGATTAGCTAGATACCTAGTTCATCTCTACCCCTTTTACATTCCCATCAAAAGAAAGAGGGACTCCTCTCCTGCTCAGAGGGGAGCCACTGGGTAAGACACAGGGTAATTCAGTATCTAAGCACAAACAGCCCGTGATGTCTGCTGAGCTTGCCAGCAAGTGTAGTGGTTGTGAAAGGAGGTGTTTAACCCAAGTGATGTAACCTGCGACAGTTCACTCAGTGTCTTGCAGAGACCATGGCTCCCACTCAAAGCATTACAATCTCTATCCCAAAATCAATTCAGCCTGAAGAAAGAGAGAGTTGTTACAACAACCCAAATGGTGCCAGGATTGCACAGAAGGCTCCAACACATTCTTTGTTATTATTACTTTTATTTCTACAGTGCAGCAACAGCCGCTGCAGGAATACATGGGGACCCACTCTGATTCCATCCATAGTGCTACAAGTCAACCGAGCAAACTGTCAGTGCAACACAAACTGGAAGAACTGATACCTGTTCTAACATGATAATAATTTTATACCCAGGTAGAACATCAAAGCTGCAGCCAAGACCAAAGCCCTGCAAGCTTGGCATTATGCAAACACCATGAGGGACAATCCTTGTCCAGGGATATGTACAAACTAAACAGAGAGGACAGGCTATGTGTAACAGGGAAAACAAAGACACAAAGGAATTCAGTGTCTGGCCAAGGGTTACTCCAGCCAGTCAACAGCAGAGCCAAAAATAGGATCCAAGTTTCTTAGTCTACTACATGTGGCAATGGGAACTATGTGGCCCATCAAGAGCCTGATTAGTCCACAGTCTCTGGCAAGATCTACTTAAAATCTTTCACTAATATTTAGGAACATTATTTGTACTCTACTCTTTTTCTTGCCTTCATTCTCTTCAGAACAGAAGCTTTTTCTGTGAAGGAATCTGGAAGAAGCTCCTTCACATGAGTGGAGGAGGTGATGACTGGTATAAGATGAAGCAGATTAATAACTAACTCCCCTAGAATAAATTTTAAGAAAACCCTTTTTGATGCAAAGTATTATCAATTATTATTATGAACTCTCAATGTTAATTAAATTGTAACAGTCAGTTATCAAAACTGGGATAGAAGCTATTCTGTATTTTAATTGTATACTGAAAGCACAGAGCTAAATGAAGGCTATTACTCACTGCAAGATGAAGAGTAGTAGTCCACTCAAACATGAGATTTTAGGTAAGTCAAGACATAGATTTTAAAATAAGAGCTCATATTCAGCCCAAAATTTATTTTTTAGGCATTTCCTTAACTCCCAGGTAGCAGAGCAGGGTAGAGAGGACCATGCATAATGTGCATAGATTTTGAAAAGCACTCACCATCCATCTAATTCTTCCTCTCTTGCCATTAAGCATCTGTAACTTGAGGCAGAAGCAGCCCTTCTGCCATCTCACCTGAACTGAGATTACCAAATGTCACAGAAGCAACAACAAGATCTCTGTACCCACTACCTGAGGTCGCAACAAATCTCAAAGTATCACTTTCAAATGTAATAGATAGTAACTTAATTACCATTGGAGAATATTTCCTTTGTTTATGGTTAATTGCTTGAATAAACCCATGTGCATTACATAGGAATTGAAAAATCATCCCCATTCCCCCTATAGTCTATTTATGTTAAAAAAAAAAAAGCAAGCCTTAAATGTCTTCTGGTTACCAGTCATTTATGATAAATGAGATTTGAATTCCAGACTTTGGAATGCAGCCATTTGCAGCTTTGCAAAGTATTTTCCACAATGAAATTTCCAATGATTTGAAGGTACCTCACATTAACCTAAAGCAATTTATTACTGCAAAGCCCTCTAAACTACTGACATATCTGGTCAAATATGATAAATCGAATGCTGGGATTATAGGCATTGCACTGTGGTGAGTCCTGTATTTTTGAGAAGCTGGTGTTGTTTGGATCAATCAACAGAGTTCCTTACAGTCCAAAAATGAAATTACAATTGCTTTCAAGAGAAATAGGTGCCAGCTCAATGCACAGCTTTTATGCAGCACAGGGTTGATTTGGAGCAACATTAATTGTTTATGTGTAATGAGCCTATGAGGAACACCAATGAGCTATCTGAAAAACATCCTAGCAGAAGATGATTTGCAGAATTGGGCCACTTAAACTAGATAGTATAAGTACTTTTTCTACAGCTATATCTTTATAAACCAAAGCCTTCATGGAAAAAAAAAATAATAAAATTCTAGATTTTGTAAAGAGGGGTCCAGAGAAACAATTAGTCTGTGAAAATTCAGATGTCTGAGATTTGTGCAGCCAACAGTTTCCTTCTACCCAAAACAAAAGCTTACACATGCTCAGATGATCCAAGGAATTCAAGTCACTGCAAATCAGCCAACCCATGCTAACTGTCTGGTTGAATTCACAGGCCCATTGCAAGTTTAATTCAATTTAACTTAGCCTGCTATTAAGGAGGGCTATCCAACATGCATTACATTGCCTTTGCTTGACTTAATATCATACAGAAATAAATAACTTGGATGATGTGTGATATCTTGCGAAGCTGCATTACCGAAATACGTTTAATTCAATTCTGATCTTGCGTCACATTTACAAGTTGTCACACATTCACAAGATGATAGAAGCCTGTACATACAAACTTTCTGGAATTTTGTTTGGAATCCAAAGCCAGAAATGCAAACAGATCCTGTTGTAGCTTCAGCTCATATCTGATGTTTAATGAGTCTTGTATTTCCCACAGAGCTGAAAGCAAATCTCTTATTAGTTGAAAGAACTTAACCACAACTCACTTTCTCATAAGCTATCTATTTTCTGACTGCACTCCCTGTGGCTAATGCATTCTGTGATGGTACTTTGGAGAAGAGCACTTTTTTTCATCCTTCTTTTAGGGGTTTCACTCACAAGGAAATGCCTTTGTTTCTTTCAGATACAAGGCTGTTCTGATTTACCTGTAAATACCTTTCCTTTGGCAAAAAAAGAGGACCTTTTCAGCGCAGAACTCAAGACTGCAGGGAACGTGTGACTCAGTGCTTCTTGACCACACACACATTCTCCTGCTGTCAAGGGCCTGAAAGAAGGCAGTAGCTGAAAAGGGACCGTTAAGTTTGACATTGCCAGCAGTTCTCAACACAGCAAGGTAGGAGGTTTATGGGGTTTGTTGTGTTAAGAGAGCACAGCCATACACACTTGAAATTTTATAGTGTTTTCTATATCTCATATAAGCCACAAGCTATGGCACAACTTTCTTGCTTTCTGGCAAATCTGTTTACACAGATCTCTGCCAGTCCAGTCAAGACTGCATTGGCTTATTCTACAGCTGAGTGTATTCTTCAAGGACTTCCCACTGAGGGAAATAAGGGAGAACAAACACATAATCAGAATATTTTTCAGAAGTTTCACCCTCTCTCATTGTCTTTTTTTCAGTGAATGATTTCAGGATACATGTTAGGGCCGGTTTCATGCAGGTCAGAGCCTGATTCTTCATGCAACAGGCAAAGGAATATTGTGTGAAATACCACTGAAATGAACAGCGTATCAACATAAATGAGAGTCAAAATTCAGTCTTGGTATATAAGCACACATTCCTGCATGTTAAGCATCTGATGAACAGCTGTTTGGCTTGGAGATAATATAACCCTACTGTGGGCCAGCTTCTGCACATGGTCACAAATAAGAGATGGGACTTCTTACTAGTACAGTTGCTGGAGGACAGTGTCAGCATAAACAATGCCAAGAAACTTCCAGCCCCTGAATCAAAACATTAAATCCTGAGACCTGAGGTAGAAAAACCTCAATCACTAGCTGTGTCTAAAATCTCAGAAATAAACCCTTGATTTGAAAGGAACATAAAGCACTGTACATTCATGCACTTTCAGTATGCAGCTAACTTAATCCACTGTAATGGGGTTAACCCAATGCTTAGCCAAATTCTGCAGTCCCTCAGCTCAAATTCCTTCTGAAACCAGAAGGAATTGTTTAGTACCTATCCACTGAGTCCTGGTGTTTGAGGACAAAAAAGAGCAAAGTTTCCTCAGAACAGAAGATAACTCTAAGAAAATGACAGTAGAGCATCTGAGGGACATTTGGTCTGTAGGTAGATATAGAAAATTTTAGAAGCAGCTTATCCGATGTTTGCCTTTTCCCTGATATCCCAGGACCATTATAAACAGGGGAGAAAATAATTACTCCTCTCCACATATCAGGCTTATCCCGATAAGACAAACATTTTGTGTGATGCACAACTGCAGAACTCAACCATGCTATAATTAGCTGCTGTGAAGAATCAACTCCACAGCTGTCAGCACATCCATCTCTATCTTCCAAAGGGGTTTGTGTTATGACCGGGAAAAATATGGACATGTAGGAATCCTGAGTAAGTTATTTCAACTGAGAAGTACTCTGGTCCTGAAATGCTTTACTCCATGTTACCTGTAAATCACGACGGGTGTACATGATATTGAACAGGCAAGTATGAGGAAATTATCATGGCAGAGAAGTTTTTGGTTTCAATTAGACATTAAACAGAATACTGAAAGCATGCCATAGTGATGGAAGCAGGAAGAAGAGATGCATTTCATCAATAATGGGTTAAGAAATTAGTCTGAGTTTTGGCCTGTTTCTCACTGCCCTTTCTTCTCAGGCCTTACTTATTTTTTTTATAGATCCCTGAAGACAACAATAGAAATAGTCTCTGATTCACGTGGTTCCATGATTGCAGTACCAACACACAGGTAACATGCATATGAAACAAAGGCCAGTGAGAGGTGCACTGATGGCTCATGTTTTTACATGTAAGTACTTCTGTGCATCTCTTTTCTGGCAGGGAAGCAGAGCACGAGTGTGCCATACCCAACACTGCAGCACCTGCAGCATGGTGCTGTCAGTGCTAAGCAGACTGGAAAGACAAATGCTCAGTGCCTGTAATATCTGCAATTATCCTTATGAGCTGGATTTCCAGTTTGGCTCAGTCTCTTGGAGGCCAAATGAAAGCATGGCAAACAAGTGGTTAAGAGCAATCAACTTTAGTCCAAGATGCCCAGCTCCACACCGTCTGAATCAGAGCTTTTTGCAACCCTATAAAGTTTACTTATTAATTCCATTCAGGACTTGTCATTATGTTAGGGAAGTTAAAAGACCAAGTAAAGGGAGAAGAAAAAAGAAAAGGAGAGTAACACCTGTCTTTGCAGCTGGTCAACAGGCAGACCTTTAATGTGCTGCCTGCTGGGAAACAAGGATGGTCTCACATTACACTGAGCCTTCAGCAAAGGATGGAGTTTGCAGAAAGGAATCCTGAAACTAAGAGATGTGAGGCTTGGGCTGTAGCCAAAAACAATGGAGAACAGCATTACATGAAAAGTTCCATAAGTCCAAATGCATTCAATCATTGAACAACACACAGTTTTGCGGTTTGAAAGAATTTTAAAAAGAAATTTAAATCATCACTGCAGCTACCAGTTGTTCCTAATTTTGAAAAACAATCACTATTTTACCCTTAACTACCACCAAATGCT